CTGATCTAGTAGTGAGACCCTGAACATCCTGTAGACCCTTCCCTAAAAAAAAAAAAAAAAAAAAAAGAATAAACAAAAAAACCAACAGAACAGAACAAGACAATGACAATGAAAATGATGACATCATGGCAAATGTAACCATTGGTAGAATGGAACAGAGGTTGGTATTTTTATACTTGGTTTTGAAACTTTGGGAGTGTGTTGCCATTTGGCTGTGCCTATCCTCAGCCACCTCTCCGTGGAATGTGTCAGAGTTCAGCTGTTTGCTGCTGTGGTCTTTCTGAGGGCAAGCTGAGGGTGAGTGGGGAGGGCTGGCCGTGAGGTTGCCTGGCCCAGGTTCAGGGACAGCAGCAGCTGCAGATCAGACCAAAGGGCCCTGTCTCCCGGGAGTGTGGCGGGTGGCTGAAGGCGGGTGAGGGCGCAGATTTCTGTGCTGCAGAGTCTGGTTAATGGGCTCCGAGTTGGGCTGGTGAGGGGCTCCAGGAAAAAAGCGCCATGTTGGCGTATTCGAAATAAAAGAAAGGCAGATGGGAGTAGTGAAAGCACTGGCTCTGGGTTCATGTTTGGTCTCTCTTTCTGTAGGCTGGTGCCCTCGGAAAGTCTCCTAAGCTAAGATATAGCTAAGATATGCCATAAGATAATATGTTGTATGTCATTAGTCAGAGCCAAAAGAAACAACCAGAAGACCTGATTAATGTAGCTTGGGAGGTCTCACTGAGATTAGTCTCTCCCTCAGTGAGCTCTGAGCCAGGGAAACCTCTCACATTTATTGAGGGCTACAAACAGGCGAAGGAATGTGCATAACTAATTTGGTGCAAACAAACTGCCATCTACATTGCCTTCCAACCTTCACCAAACTCTATGTTTATGTAGCAGTAGATGGTAACTTCCCAGGTAAAGGAACAAAGAATAGACAGGGTGATGTCTCCGGGAATCTGTTACTACCTTGTCTCCAGCTTGCTGGCTTCACAAGGGGCCAGTTTCCTTAGGCTCTGTTCTTTGTTCCTTGCTCCCTTGCTACAGTATAACCGTATATCCACTACATTAATGTGTGTAAAACCTCAACCCAGCCAGGTAGATAGGTCAGTGGTATAAGCGCTCGCCTGTGAAGCGTAAGTTCCAGAGTTCAATTCCTAGTACCAAAACACTCTACCAATTCAGCTCTTGGTGGCAAGGATGGGGGTAGGATCTATACACTGGGCAGCAGCAGGAGCAACATAATGATGTTGAGAGGCCAGGTGTGGTGAAAGACACTTATAGCCCCATCACTCTGGGAGGCTGAGGCAGGAGTGCCCAAGTCTGATCCTTCTGGTAATGGGAGAAGGCTGCCTGGGTGGTGAAATGAGACGATGCATACAGCAGGTATTCAGAATAATGCTTGGGAGCTGGGCTTGATGGCACATGCCTCCTGTAACCCCAGAACTCATAGAGCTGAGGCAGGAGGACCGCTGAGTTCAAGGCCTGTCTGGGTTACATACTGAGTTCAGAGCTCACTGTGAACTGCACAGCAAGAGCCTCTTTCTCACAAAAAGAAAGACAGAAAAGCAAAAAACAATTAGGGCAGGTCGCCAAGTATTGATTATATTATTATTTTTTGGTAGTATTGGGAGTAGAACCCAGAGCCTTCACACTGATCCACGTCCTTAGCTCTTTATTTTATTATTTTGAAGCAGGGTTTCATTAAGTTGCTCAGTTGTGTGATCCTCCTGCTTCAGCCTCCCAGAGTGATGGGGTGACAGGCGTGTTTCACAGCAGGCTCCTTCACATTATATTCCAGATGCCCAGTGTATAGAACCCCTCCCACCCCCCATCCCAGCCACTGAGATCGGAGCTGTTTTATAAGCACTATCAGGGGATATAGCTTAGTGGCATAAGTGTCTGCCTTGTAAGTGGGGAAAAAAAAAATTGATCCCTGGTACTGAAAAAAAAAAAGTATAAGCACTATCATATAGTTCCATGAAGATGCTACTACTGTTCCAAATTTATAAGAGGGGCATTTTGAGGCTCACAGGATGAAGTAATTTGTTCAGGACTGCAGCCACAGAGGGCTGGATTTCAACAGCTGTGGCTCCATTCTACAATGAAGCAAGGAGTGGCTTGTGCTGTGACCTCAGGACCTGGGCTATATCGCCCCCTCGTGGTAGCTTCTAGATTTTACTGCTTTCCAGTGAAGGGGTGCGACTCCACAAAGGAGGGGGACAGAGAAAGAGGGAAGGAAAGGAGAGGAACAGAGCCTGGGTGTCTGCTGTAAAGTCTAACAGAGGAGAGAAAGAAATTAATATATGTGTGCTGCTGAAGTAAGCACAAGGACAGAAAGAAATTAAAATCAAGATGTCCAGGCCTGTAATTCTGGCACTGGAAGATTGAGGCAGGAGAATTGCAAATTTGAGTCAAACGTGGGCAATTTAGTAAGAGTGAGAACGTGTCTCAAACAAACAAACAAAAACAAGGCATGGCTGAAGATGTAGCTTAGTACAATGGAGGCCCTGGGTTCAATCCTCAGTAAACACATGCAAAGAGCCCGGGGGATAGCTCAGCAGCACAGCGCCTGCCTGGCAAGCACAAAGTCCTGAGTTCAATTCCCTGTACCATTTTTTATTTATTTATTTTTTTCTTTTTTCTTAATCAAGAAAAGCTCAGGGCCGGCCAAATAGCTCAGCATATTAAAGTGCCTGCAAGCAGGTGCAGGGGCCAGGGGTTCGATCCCTGGGCCTGCCTTGCTGGCCTTGCCCCTGGGGTGTGCTGAGATGACAATTGAGACTGGGCATGGTGGCACGAGCCTGTAATCCCAGCACTTGGGAGGCTGTAAACAGGAGAATTACTATGAGTCCCATCTAGTAGTGAGACCCTGAACACCCTATGATCCTTCCCTAAAATACAGAAAAAAAGAAAAGCTCAGATACATCAATAGCAATTGTCTCAGCATACAACCTAGACCCACCTTGGGCAGCATGTACCCTCGGAAGCAAGTGGTCCTGGTGGTGACGTGGGGCATGCCCAAGGGCACAAGCGCCAGCAGCCGCTGCGCCTCATGCAGCACTGCATCCGTGAAAGGGAGGCGGGCCCGGTCCTGCAGGCTTGGTGCCTGGCCCTCTGGCAGCTCCCGCCTCAGCTCCTCTTGTACCTGCTCTGCAAGTGAGAAGAGAGTAGGGGTGAGGGGTTCTGAGCCTCCTCTGAGCAGCCCCATTGTCTCGGACAGCAGTGATTCAGGGTGAGGTTGGCAGCAGGCAGGAGCAGCCTCCGAATGCTCATTGAGCCTGGGGCCAGCCTGTTCTGTGTGCGGGTGGGGCTTTACATCTGTCCTATAATCCCACTACAACCCGTGGTGCAGATGAGGAAACTGAGGCCCAGCGAGCCCCAAGACACTTGCCTAACATCACAGCCAATTCCATAGACACCACAAGGCCAGGCCACGCCACTGGCCAGCCTGCATTTAACACAGCTGTCCTACCCACAATTCACTGGGGCTCCCCCCCATGCCCACCTCTTATCACTCATCCTCCTTTTTCCTGTCTTCTTCTTCCAGGTGTTGAACTCAGGGAACTTTGCACTGAGCTACATCCCTATCCCTTTATTTCAGTTAGTTTTTATTGAGACAAGGTCTCACTAAACTGATAAACTGCCCAGGTTGGGCTTGAACTCGAGAGCCTCCCGTTTCAGCTTCCCACTGAGCTACATCCCTATCCCTTTATTTCAGTTAGTTTTTATTGAGACAAGGTCTCACTAAACTGATAAACTGCCCAGGTTGGGCTTGAACTCGAGAGCCTCCCGTTTCAGCTTCCCAGAGTGTTGGAACTATAGGTGAGTAACACAAGCCTGGCTGAGGACTCCAACTTTTAATCGTGGGCCCTGACCTGACTGTCTGACAACCTCCTGGATCCCTGCCTGTGACTGGCCCCAGGCCCTACTCAGATTATTCCAAAGTGGCCCAAGTGTCTCCCTTGAAACCAGTTCTTTCTTCACCCATCCTGCCTCTCAGGATGGGCCCACTGTTCCTAGTCAAAGCTTTCAGCCTTGTTCTTGCCCATATCCCTCCGTTTTTGTCCTTTGAGACTGCCTCCTTCTTCATCCTCACAGCCTTGTCCAGCCCTGTCTTCTCCCTTCAGGTCCCTGTGTTCCCCCCCTGGGCTCCTGGCACCCTCTTTTACCTTTTACAGCCCAGTTCTGCAGGGCAGCCCAAAGGATTTTAACAAAATCTAAATATGACCCTGTATTCTCCCTGCTCGATAGCCTTCCATGGCTCCTCACGATTGAAAAACAGCATATAATATACTGCACTGTGGGGACAAAGGCCCTGCAGCCGCCCTGTCACTCACTGTACCTTGCTGCACCACAAGCCCTCAGCCTGGCTGTTCTGGAAACTGCACAGCCTGCTTCTTGAACCTTCCTTCTGCCCCTGGGGCCTGGCTGGTAGGCGAGGAAGGCTCTTACTTTGGACGTCAGGATACTTCAGAAGGAGCAGGAGGGCATAGCGGACAGTAGCACCAGTTGTCATTGTCCCAGCAAACAACAGGTAAGTGACTGTCATCAGCAAGTTCTTCTCAGTGAATTCCGTGTTGGAGTTCTCTTTCTCCTGGAAGAAACCAGGCAGAGGGGCTCAGGGAACACAGGCTGAGGGAAGAAGAGGTCGAGGGGACACAGTCTTGGGGTGCAGAGTAGCAAGTTTAAGCTTCAGCAGGGAGTTTAATGTTTTGGAAAAGTTGGCAAGTGGGCTCTTGGTATTCATTTGCTCTGGTTGCAACTTTTTAAAAGAATGAAATAAAGAGTACAAAATAAAAGACAAATAATATGAAAAAAAGAGAGAAGAAAAAAATAAATGGAAAAACCAGGGCAGGAAAATCTTGCATTTGAGGCTAACCTAAACTGCACAGCAAGACCTTGTCTCAAAAGACCAAAACCAAATAATACAAAACAAGAACAACCTAGAGGGCTGGTGAGATGGCTCAGTGGTCTAAAGCACCTACTTAGAACAAGCTTAGCAAAGCACAGGGACCGCGGTTCAATCCCCCAGCACCACATGCCAGCCAGCCCCGCCCCCTGGTGGGCTGAGCTGCCCACACACACACACACACACACACACACACACACACACACACACAAAGAACAACCTAGAAATGTTGGTGAAGAACGGAGGAATGGCTGCCTATGTACAGTGGTGTCGTTGTTGTGTGGCAGAGAAAAGTGTGGCAGCTCCTCAGAAAATTAAAGATACACACAGGCCAGCCTGATAGCTCAGTGGACTAAAGTGCCTGCTTAGGCAGAGCACATCGGCTGGGTTCATCCCCGTTGTGCTGTGCAGGCCCCGCCCCTGGGGCCTGCTGAGACATCACTGAGACTCGGCCTTTGGGAGTAGTGGTGCCTTTGGGAGGCTGAAAACAGGAGAATCAATACGAGTCTGATCTATGTAGTGAGACCCTGTAGACCCGGTAGACCCTGTCCTAAGGGAAAAAAAAAATATATGGTGCATGCCTGCAATCCCCAGCTACTCATGAAACTGAGGCAAGGAAACTACAATTTGAGGTTAGCCTGGGAAACTCTGCAAGACTTTGTTTCAAAAATAAAACAAGACTCATAACTCATGAAAAGGGATCTCCTGGGATACAGCTTAGTGGTACTACCCTCCCCAGTGGTACAAAAGATTTTTTTTTTTGCGGAACCAGGGATTGAACTCAGACCTTTGCGCTTGCCAGGGAAGCACTTATTCTACTGAGCCATCTCCTTGGCCCGGCAAAAGAAAATATTAAAAAAAATACTATAACCATAAGGTCCAGCAACTCTGCTGGATATATCAAAAACAAGATCTGGGTGTGGTGGTGCACCCCTGTAATCCCAGCACTGTGGAGCCAGGTAAGAGGACTGCTGGGAGTTTGAGGCAAGCTGGGTTAGGTAGTAAATTCAAGGCCAGCCTGAACTACATGGTAATATTCTGTCTCCAAAAACCAAAAAAGAATTAAAAGTAAGGACTCAAAAACTTGTCATATACCTATATTCATAGCAGAATTATTCCCAATGGTCATGAGGCAGAAGCAACCTAAATATATATTGAAAGATGAATTGATACCCAGAATATGGTGTTTTTCCCCTTTCCCCTAAAATAAGATCCAACCAGAAAATAACCTTGAAAACTAGAGATCAAAAATGCCAGCTCTGGGACTGGAGAGATAGCTCAGAGGCATAAGCACCTAACACAAGGACCCGCGTTCAACTCCCGGCCCCATGTGCTGTTCAGTCTCAGCCCTGGATCCCTAGGCGTGCTGTCTGGGTCCCAGATGCTAATGCCCACTGTGTGGCCGAAACCGGGCGTGGTGACACACATCTGTAATGCCAGCACTAGGGAGTTTGAGCCAGGAGGATCCCTGCCTATTCCAGACAAGTGTGCACAAGGCCAGCCTGAACTGCATAGTGAGACCCGTCTCAAACAAACAAACAAACAAACAAACAAACAAACAAAGCTTGCTCCAAGTACCTTATCTTCCCTGTAGTTACAAAGTAGCCACCCAAAAAAACAAAAGCCAAAAAACCAAAGTAGCCACCACAAGAGAGCAGGGAGCTAGAATCTGCTGCATCACACTGGCCATCACCGTGGCAGTGACCAGTGCTTATTTTCCAATTAGGTGTTATTTTCAGGGAAACACAGTCCACACCAGGGAAGACTACTCAGGCTTTAAAAGGAAGGAAGTCCCGCCACATCCTTTTTTTGGCAGAACCGGAACCCGGGATTGAATGCTTGCCAGGGAAGCGCTTAGTTCACTGAGCCATCTCCCCGGCCCCTATTTTTCCTTTTTTAAAATTTTTATTTTATTTTATTTTATTTATTTTTTATTTTTTTGCCTCCACATCCTGTAATATGGGCGGACTTTGAGGATGCTGTACTCAGTGAATAAGCCAGTCCCCAAAGAACAATATGGTATGCTTGCACTTATACACGATACCTAGGGTGGTCAGATTCACAGACGAAAGTAGCACAGTGAGGCTGCCAACAGCCTCAGAGGGGTAGATGTAGGCAGTTGGTCATTAATGGGCATAGAGATTTAGCTCTGCAAGAGGAGCAGAGTTCTACAGCACGTGTAGGGATGCATGCCTATCACCCAGGATTTAGAGAGGCTGAGGCAGGAAGACTGTAAGTTTGAGTCCTGCCTGGGCAATTTAGCAAAACTCCGTCTTTTTACAAAAGGTGGTGGTCAGGGGCACGGAGATGTAGCTCAGTCAAAAAGTGCTATTGAGGTCAATCTCTAGTACTGTTTAAAAAAAAAAAAAGTTTTGGAGATTATATAATAATATGAATGTGGGCTGGGGAGAGAGCCCAGCCGTCTAAGTGCCTCCCTGGCAAAGGCAAGGACCTGGTTCAGTCCCACATGCTGTGCTGTACCACATGCTGAGCTGGCCCGGAATCCTGGCTGCACCATGCCAGCCACTGAAACTGGGTGTAATGGTGCACAAATATAATCCCAGAACTGGGGAGGTTGAGACAGGATGATCACTAGGAGTCTGAGCTGCATAGTGAGACCTTATGTCAAGAAATAAAAATAAAAATATTTAAAAAGAGGCACACCTTTTCCCTTGCCCTGTGCTGACTGGGGCTGGGAATGCAATGCAGGGTCCTCTCCTTCTTGCTCTGCTGAGTATGTGTGCTACCACTGAGCTACCTCCTAATCCTAAAAACATGTTTTATTTAAAAAAATGAAAGTGTAGTGGCATGGTGGTATATGCCTATAACACTGACACTGGGAGGCTGAGGCAGGAGGACTGCAAATTTGAGCCCAGCCTGGGCAATTTAGTGACTGAGCAAAACCCTGAATCAAGATACAAAATAAAAAAAAAAAAACGCTGGGGATATAACTTGCTGCAAAGGTCCTAGGTTCAATTGAGTTCAACCCCACTACCAACAAAGAGAGAGAGAGAGAGAGAGAGAGAGAGAGAGAGAGAGAGAAGAGAGAGAGAAGAGAGAGAGCAAGAAAGAGGTGAAAGAGCCAGAAGAGACAGAAATAGGGCCACAGGGTTAAGAAAAAACTTTTCCTTTTTCTCTTATAATATGAAATTGTTCTTATATAATTCATACAGTAGACCTTATTAACATAATTTTAAATTGCAAGTCTTTTTAAATTACTTAATTGTAATTCCCATCTAGTATGGTGGGGAGATAGGCAGTGGGTGGGAGAAGTGCCCATGAGACTTGCTGGTGGCAGGACCCTGGGCACAGGGCCTGATTACAGGGGTGTGGAGGGAGGGAGGAAAGAAGAGACGCAAGGGACAATGAGGTGCCAGCCACCTAGGCAGCCACCCAGGCTTTCTGAGTGGGCCTCAGAGAGGCAGTGAGAACATGCAAAGAGATGGGGAGACAAAAGGCAGGAGGACACATAGAAAACACACTTGCACACACAAGCAGATGCAGAAAGCAACCTGGTTGAGATGCCCAGGTACACTAGGGTCCTAGGGGGACCAGTCAGGCCACCAGCCCCACCTAAGAGGCCACACACAGCCTCCCCCGACCTTCCCCACCTTTGCCATCTTCAGCAGGAAGGCATCAACAAGGTCACGCGCAGGTCCTGAGGTGTCCAGGTCGCCCTGGTGTTGCTGCACCTGCCGGGTAGTGAAGGCAGCCAAGGTGTCCAAGTGGCGGAGGAGCTGTGTGTGTGGGCCGGGCAGCGGCCGCAGGAGCCAGGAGAACATCTCGTAGGTCTGCAGGGGGAAGCACTGCTGGTTTTCAAGGGGCATGGCAAGAACTTTTGAGGAGTGTGGCTGGGGGGGGGGGCCCATCCATCTACCTGGCCCCATGGGGAGCTGATCCCCATTAAGGTACCACCAGCTGCCCGGATCACAGCCTGGAACTCCTCATCCTCATAGGAGAAGCGCAGGCCAAAGAGCAGTGAGCAGACGATGTTGGAGGTGGCCTGGGCCAGCAGCAGGGAGGGATCAAATGGACGTCCTGCAGGGTGGGGAGCAAGGGAGAAGCTGTGGGGGTGAAGAGGGAAGCTGGCGTGCAGCAGACGCAGGGACAGAGTGGACACTAGACCCAACCAGAGAGACAGGCATGGACAGACCAACAGGCAGACAGATGGATGGACAGTGCTCAACAGGGAGCGACACATGCACAGACCAATAGTGATGTAGACAGACAGGTGGGCAGGGAGAAAGACAGAGGCATGCAGGCAGGAGATGGATACACAAGGTTAAACATAAAAAAGGAGGGAAGGACAAATAGTAGAAAGAAACAGGCATAGGGCTGGGGGTTAACTCAGTGGTGCTGTGCCTGCCTGGCAAGTGTGGGGTTCTGAGTTCGATTCCTGGTACTACCACCCCTCATCCCCCAAAAAAAAGGAAGAAAAGAAAAATAAACAGGCACAGTGGTACACAGTATAATCTCAGTACTCTGGCAGGCAGAGGCAGGAGAATCACAAGTTTAAGCTCGATGTGGAAAAATTAGTGACTTAGAGAGATCCTGCCTTGAAATAAAATACATAAAAAATCTGGAGATCTTTCTCAGGGCAAAGGTCTCTACCATCACAAAACAGAACAAAACAGGCTGAGATGCCTGGATGCTGGAGGATGGCAGGACCAAGACAGAGACAGAGGGTGGAGGGAACAGAGCCCCCAGCCCAGGCCTGGACCCTGGGCTTCCCTTCCTGCATGTCCTCCCCCAGGTCCCACCCTGCTCACCTTCTGTCCCCTGGAAGGCCTCCACCAGCCGCTGGACTTCCGCCTGGATCACCTCCTCGCCTTCGCGCTTCCCCATGCCCAGGTCTCGCAGAGCCAGCATGGTGAACTTCCTCAGCTGCCTCCATCGTTCCCCATTGGCAAAGAAAACCCCTGCGCAGAAAGCTAGACTCAAGGAGGGACTGGCCCCTCCCTCCTCCTGAGTCCGTACTTGCCTGGCCCAGGGAAGAGGACTCACTATGTGCTCAATAAATACATAATTGAACCGGTTCCTCTGTCCTTTACTTTGGATTAGAGGGGATATTTTCCTGAGCATGCGAGACTTCATGGCTCCTGCTCTGTGATTAACCAGGATGGGTGAAGAGTCATTCCTTTCTCCACCCATCTCCTATTTAATCCCTCTTTGCTTTTCCTCCCATCCTCCTGCCTCAGCATTTCTGGAGCACTGCTGCCTTGCAGTTGGAAGAACACAGGGAAGAGGGTGAAACTGCACCATTTTCCTTCTTTATTCAAGACACCTGCTCTGGACAGATCCCCTTTTCCGAGCTCTCAGTGTTCCTACCTGTTGAATGACAGCTTGTAGTGGATCCTGGACATTTCCTGCTGGTGTTCCTCCCCTGGCCCCTTTGGCCCAAACTGGCCTCAGTGCCTGGCTTCTCCCCGTCTCAGTCCACCATCCATGTCCTGGTCTCTGGCTCTGCCCCTACCTCCCTATCCCCTGGCATCTGCACAGACCCAGCTGGTCTCCTTCCTGGGGTCTCAGCATTCAGCTTTGCCCCATACAGCACCCAGAGGATTTTCCTAACTCTACCTATCTTCTTGTGCTGCTTAAAATCCATAGCTCCAGGTATAGACCACATCTGCAACCCCGGTGCCTAGGAGGCTGCGATAGGAGGATTGAAAGTGACTGCACTGAGTGACTCAGTGGGGCCCTGCCTCAAATTAAAAACAATAAAGGTTTTAGTGATATAGTTCAGTGCAAAGGCCCTCGGCTTAATCTCCAGTACAACCCCCCCCCCCTCAACAAACACAGGGGAATAGGCCCCCAGGAAAACCAAAGACCAGGGCCAGGGAGATAGCTGAGTGGCATAGTGCCTGCCTGGGAAGCGCAAGGTCCTGAGTTTGATTCCTGGTATGGAAAAAAACAAAAAAACAAACAAACAAACAAAAACCCAAGAACCAAACACCAAAGCAGGCATCTGCTGATTTTTTGGATTTATTACTTATGTGCTACAAGTGCAGGAGTTTCCTTTCACTTCATCAAAGTGAGAATCATCTCCCTTCCCCCAGCCCTGTGTCCCTGCTGTCATCGTGCCTGTGTTACTCATGACCTTCCTAACTCCACACATCCTTTAGGTCTCAGCTCAGACGGCTCCCTTTGCTGTCTTATTACAAGGCACCTGTCCCAATGTAAGAAGACACTGCATCTGACAGGTCACCTGTGTCCCAGGACCCAGCGCAGGACCAGGCACAATGAGATTGTCAGTTGAGTGGATGACTGTGTCTTCTCCCACCGCCGCTCTTTCGTTCACACTGCTCTTTCTGCCGGGAATATCCTTCCTAGTCACCTGAGTCTTCCCTAAGACATAGTGTATTCCAGGAAGACTTCCTTGATGTTCTGCACTGAACATGCTGGATCAGGAGCGTCTCCATAGTTCCAGGGACTCCCCCAAGCTGGCCTGTGACTGCCTGTCCTGGTGAACGGCTCTGAGCTGTCACTGTCTGGTGGAAGTCTAGCTTCCCACTGGTTTGGGTGCTCTGGAGGAGCAAGACAGGGGCTGCCTCTGTCACTGCTGTGTTGCTGGCAGAGGAAGCCCTGGGCTGCTGCTTTCTGTGTCACCAGAGAAGGATGTCTACATTCTTTTTTTTTTTTTTTGGCAGACCTGGGGATTAAACTCAGGTCCTTGAGCTTGCCAGGCAAGCGCTTATTCTACTGAGCTATCTCCCTGGCCCCATGTCTACATTCTTGAGGTGCCTGCTTATTGGTTCCCCAAGCCTTGCTTGAACCAGATCAGTGATTGTTACCACTGATAAAGCCTGGCAACTAGTATGTGCGCAGGCCTCGCCCTCATTCCATCTTTAGTACAACCCTATGTAATAGACTTAAGTCTTAGGCCATGTTTTAGACAAGGAATCAGTGTCACTAAGCCCTGTGCCAAAGTTACATACCCATGAGTGCCAGCAGGATCCAGCAATTTCCATCTCCTCTCAGTACTTACCATGACCATTAAAAGTCTGGTCCAGCGTAGCCAAGGTTCCTCGCCCACTGAATTCCTCAGCCTGGTCTCCTAAGGCCTCCTGCACAGCCTTGTGCCCAACCAGGACCACCACACGCCGCCAGGGGCCCAGGTGCACAGTGAATACCGGCCCATACTTCTGACTCAGCTGTGGACAGGGAGGGAGAAAGCAGTAGCTGCGGTGGGGCTAGGGGTTGCCCAGGCCCTCATGAGTCCTGGCTTCCTCCTCCTCTAACAGAGGCCTGTCTCTTTCCCTCAAGCAGAAATAGACCTCTTGGCTGCTCTTGAATTTCACATCCTCCTTCCTCAGCCTGGCAGAGTGCTGGGATGGCACACGTGGAATAGACCCCTTTGGAGGCTCAGTTCCTTTTGCACCAGGCTTCCAGGCTCCCTCTCCAAACCTATCCTCCAATTCCCATCCTGGTTCTTCTGGTCCTTACCTCTTGCCCCAGGACAATCCAGAATCAAATTTGGTCTCCCACTACTCTTTTCTCCCAGATCTGGGCCCCTCCCCAGTCCCTGCTAACACCCTCACATTCTAGAGCAAGTGCAGCGGAGCACCTGTGCCCTCTCTCCCCAAGACGCCTACCCCTTCCTATGTCCTTAAAGTTCCTCAGAATCTTTCAAAATAGGGAACCTCTTTCCACTCCCACGCGGGTTGGGAGTCCCCCCTCCTTCCAGGAATGCCCAGCTCCCTTCCAGCTAGCTGTGCTACACCCACCCTCCCACAACGATTCCTCCCGACTCCTCCAGCCGGACCTGCCCCTCCTAGAACCCGAAGGCCTCCAGCTTCTCAGCCTCCACCGTGTCCTGCACCCCCACGCCTTTCTTCTTTGTCCCTTCCCCGCGGCGGTTCAAGCCCACTAAACACCAGGGACTTACGGGCTTGAGGGTTTCTGTTCCTCCGCTTTGGTCCCTGCCCACCACTTTCCCTGCCCTGAGGGCCCCTCAGGATGGGACTCCTGGCCATTTAGACCCTGCTTCCTGCTCTCGCCACCTCTCCAGGATGTTGCAGGATCCGCCTCTCTCGAGCCCTGGTCCCCTAGCACGGGATCCTTTCTCCAGCGCGTCTTTCGCCTTCTGAGCCTGGACAGTGTACTCCTGACCCCAGCCCCGGGCAATGCGGTCCTTCTGCCCCGGAACTCCTGCCCCACCTCCTTCCTAGAGTAACCTAGGGGCCCTCGGCCGTGGCGCTCGGGCTCCTCTCCAGGGCACCCCGGCGGCTCGCTGGACGCCCCTCAACCCCTCACCCGCAGCAGCCCGGCGTACAGCTCCCCGGGTCGCAGCTGCAAGAGGTTCCCCAGCAGCGGCAGCACCGCGGGCCCCGGGGGCAGGTGGCCTCGGGCCCGGCTCGCGGGCAGCGCCAGGCTCAGCAGGAGGAGCAGCAGGAAGAGCAGCAGCGCCCAGGTGCCGACCGCCTCCATCTCCGCAGGTCGGCGGCTTCTGCTCCGGCTCTCGCTCCGGTGGCGGGCGGGTTAAGGGCGGGCGCGGGGCGGCTCCCTCCCTGGAGAAATCGGGCGCAGGGGCGGGGCGGCCCGAACCCCTAGCCTACGGGCTGGCTGCTCCCTAGCTCAGCTGCCGCCGCCAGAGGTCGGGGACACACGCACTGATCGATCTACGGACACACAGGCTTTCCCCGGGCTCGGGGGTGGGGTGAGTGGGGGGCGGAGACAGCGCCTGGGGCCCAGGTAGGACGTAGGCAAACAGGAGCCACCTGCGAGCCGGAGACTCGGGCTCCCTGCAGCCGCCGCGCCTCAGCCGGCCGGGCGGTAACCCCGCGTGGCCCTGCTTGCTCGCTTCCACCTCCCTCTTTGCTGTGATCCGGGCGTGCGTGCGTGCGTGTGTGCATGTGCGGAGTCTGAGCCAGTCTCCTCCCGCATCTTATCGCAGTGAACTGGGAGGAGGCCTTTAAGAACTAGGAGTCTGAGGTCCAGAGGTAAATCGGTTGGCCCTCCCTACGTCAAAGGCCAGGTGGCAGAAGTAGGCTTTGGAGCCGGGCCGGTCTGATGAATCCGTTCACTGTTACTTAGAAGCACTTTGCACACTGGTTAGGAACAGGAGGGAAGGGAAACCACACTGTCGGAGTTCACAGCTTACCTTCCCTGAGCCCACTGAACAATTTCGTGCATAGTGTTAGTATCCAGGATTAGATAGGTACACACAGCCAGATGGCTGTGGTAGTGCACACCTGTCACCCCAGGGCTCTGGGAGGAGGCAGCTGGAAGTCTATAAATTCCAGTCTAGTTTAGGCAGTTTAGGAGTTAGAGAGTGCCCGTTTGTAAATAAAACATCAAAAGGGGCTGGGCGTTTAGCTCAGTGCAAAGGGCTTGGGATCAGTCCCCAGTAAACCCCCCCACGAGCTGTCGCCTGTGCACAGGTTAAAACACGACCAGCTTCATATGTAAAAATTACTAAATGTCAGCCAATATTTCTACAACTCATTGTCATTGAGGCCTAACTGTAAACAAGACTGTTCTGGAGCTCAGGATGCAGTTATGAGCAATGGAGAAAAGAGCCCAGCCCTCCTTGAGCTCATAGACACGAGAAAATGAACTTGCAATTAGATAATTTTCAGAAGTACTGAGGCCTTCTGGGGGAATGAGCTTGTTTCGGAGGAAGGCAGCATGTCAGATCCACACAGACAAGGACTGTTGTTGGTTTGCATCCCTGCTGTGTCCTTGGGGTCTGGTGCGCGGTCTGACCCAGTACATAGTCAGTACCCGTCTGTTGCCTCTCAGACTGTATGTAGAAGATCGGGTGAGAGAGGTCTCCAGGGACTGTTGGATTACAAGATTTTACTTTTTCTAGTGCAAAGGA